TATAATACATGTATATAACAGTATTAACATTTAAAGTTTAATCGAGTAGAAAGTTAGGTTTATTATATTTTTATGGCTTCTTCATTTTCTAATCTGTGGATCTTAAATATGTCCCCTCATTATCTTTACTTTCCGTCTTCAATTAAGAGTGGAAAATGAAAGTATTTAAATTTTTCGATTTTCTTTATAGATTCATTTAATTTATCTAAATTTTCCCTCATTATCCTCTATCAGAATATTTTCATGTCAGAATAAGAATAACAAAATAAACATCCCTGGGAAGATGGATAAAGAAAACATGTATGAAGGGTATCTACCAGCCAGGCACTGCCTACTAGAGCACTTATCTCTGTTAATCTTAATAGCGTAAAATGAACAATGTCTATGAATTCACTTGACCTCTGAGCAAAAGTCTTTATGTGCAAATTAATTAAGATTAATTAATTTATTAATTTGATATTTCGTTCATTTATTTATTCATACATCTCAAGAATATCTCATCATTATATTTATGTTGATAGTCCTCAAGATCTAACAGTAAACATGATTATTAGAGAGAGAGAGAGAGAGAGATAGATCAGAAATCAGTCAGTGAGGATATCTCCCAGTCAGACTGCAGCATCTTTACCAGCCTGGGTGTCTTCCAGTCTGGCACCGCCTAGCAAACAGTGTTCCTCTCTTTCCATCCTAATAGCTCTAGATCTTTGAGCAACAATGTTTATTATCATAATTCACTTTGGCTCTTCGCAACATTCATTCATTGATCGCCAATTCAATACGCCCCATTGCAAATAGAGTATATATTTTAGTCATTGCCGCACATTTTGCACAATTATTGTATTGTGTGGATGTGTATGTGGATTCGGATTGGCTAGCTAGGCAGCCTGGCTGGCTGGCTGGCTAGATGGCTAGATGGCTAGCTGGCTGGCTGGCTGGCTGCCTGGTAATTTCGGCCAGATTTATAGCCCTGACATGCACCGTCACCACAGTCGCCTCCTTCGCTAGAAAACTAGCAACAAAATGAGAATTATAAGAAAAAAACAACTGATGGTTGCGGCATGCCAAAATAACGCGCACACACACACACACACACACGCATACAGAGAGAGAGAGAGAGAGAGAGAGACATGACGCGCGGCTGACAGTCGGACAGCCGCTGAGAAGCCTGCCCCACTGCCCCAGCCACTGTGGTGTTGGCCAACTCGCGGCAGTCAACCATATTGACCAATGAGTCATCACTTTTATTTCGAGTCTATATACATGGGTATATAGTGCAGATATAGACTCATAGATATATGCATGTGCGTGTGCGTGTGTGTGTGTGCATCAATAAATGCTAGAAGAGCGAGCGAGAACAAAATAAAACATTTTCATTTTAATGGGCACGGGGACGATATCATCACGAGCCAGCGATCGCTGAAGATGAATCTTTTCGTTCTTTGGGATGGACCGTGCTTTCATAGTGCACATCCTCAAAGATCTGTTGCTCTCTCACATTCTCTCACTCCCGCTCTCTCCCCCGTTTCCCTCTGTCAACCGAAGCAAAAAATAATTTAATGTTGGGTCACGCCGTTCTGCTGTTGAGCAGGATCTTGGCGAATTGGGGGTAAGTGATGCGGGGTGAAGGGCACGGGGGCGACGACTGTGGTGTTGGGGCGTTGCCGTTGGCATTTATCGCCGCGGAGATTTCCCAACCACATGCCAGTCGCATTATTCACCCGTGAGTGTTCGGCACAAATGCCCATCTGCTCGATATGGCAATGTTTAGGTGTAAGCAGGAGGAGCCGATGATACATGCAAAGCTGTTTTTTTCTATTCTATTCTATTCTATTCTATCTGTTCTTTAGAATAGCACATAGTGCTAGTGGCCTCCCCCCTCCCAGATGCTAGACTCTCCTGGCAAATGTCTCTCTATGTGTGTGTGTGTGCTCATCTCAGCGACTTTCGCCAGCTGCTGCCGCTGGCTCTGGCTCGGCGTTTGTCGAGCAGCATCGAGCGAATTGTGTGGCCCGTGGTGTGCTCAGTCTACGTTTGGGCACCGTACGGTCTTGAGTGGGCCGCAATGTTACTGCAAGTCCGTGCAGCGTGCAACGTTCCGAAGATCGTCGATCGTCGTTGTCAACGCCGGGCGTTTTGACAAAATACGCCGCATAAATCATACGCCCCGTGGGCCCGATGTGAGGCGGGGGAGCACAGCCAAAACAAATATTATGAAAATCTGTGAAATTACTAAGAAAAGCGCAAAGAAACAACAACAAACAACAATATACGAAGCTAGCAGATAGAGTGGGAGAGGGCGTGATAGAGGGGAAGAGACAGAGAGAGAGAGAGCACGACGAGCGTCGGAAAAATTCGCTTGAAAATGTTTTGCTTGATGTGTCTGTGGTTTTTACTCTGATTTTTTTTATCCCAATTTTCCAATTTTCCCAAGAAAAACAAGCAGTGAAAACATACGTCATCACAGACCCAAACACATGAGAGAGTGTAGTAGAAAGTGATAGAGATAGAGAGAGCGGGAGAGAGAGTGGGAGGGCGGACAGGATTTGTTACACACTCTGGAAATAATTTTTGTGTGCGCTGTCTGTCATCCGTGGAAATAAGTTTGTGTAATACAAAACTCTTCAATTACACCCAAAGCAAAGCAACGAAAATGCTCAAGTCGCCCATATAGAAGAGCTCTGGGCAACGACATTATCGAATTTTGAATTAGTCTAGACTCTAGACAGACTTGCATCGATCAACATGTGCGATACGCGCGCCTTGATTACCACCAAGCAGACGAACGATCTGCACAGTTGCTGGATCATTTATAGTATGTGAAAACAAATGAGACTCTCGCTCTCTATATACAATATATGTATACCATATGTGTATATATGTATATTTACTTGATTCACATTTAAAGTCTATATAAATTTGCCCATTTTGTTCAATATTTTGCAGCCAAAAGCGATGGCCGGGAGCGCTTGACAGTGACGGACACAAAGCCCGTTATCATGACCAGCAGCAATAGCGGCGGCAACAACCCCACAGACCTCACAAACAATAACAATAATAATCATAATAATCATAATCATAGCCACAACAATAGCTCTAATAACAATGAAATCTATTCATCCAATGGACTGCTCAGCCACGCAGCCAATGACAGCGTCGATGCGATTGTGGATGGGAATGCCGTTACCGTTGCCGTTGCTGACGTGGATGCGGATGCGGATGCGGATGCGGATGTCGATGGGGATGGGGATGTCGATGGGGACGGGGATGCTGGCTGTGGCTGCACGGAGCAGTCGTTGGCCGAGATTCTCGATCCCGAGCTGCAGCCAGAGCCGCCCATACCGAACAATGCCGAGTCGCAGGCGATCTATCGCGATCATCGCCACATGGCCAAGGAGTATCTGCGCGTCGACACGAACCTCTACTATGCGCAGGACTTCAAGGACAAGCTCATCCTGCAAATGGACCCCATCGAACGGGAGCAGAAACAGGAGATATTACGCAAAATGAAAGACAGGGTAAGCCAAGTGAAGCAAGCATTCATTGCCATTGCCATTGCCATTGCCATTGCCATTGCTCCGGGCCATTCTCTAATTCCCTCGAATTCCCTCTCTGCTTACAGGAGGGCCTGCAAAGCCTCTACAACAACCTGCAGCAACAGCGGGAGAAGCTGCCTGGCAACCGACTCGCGCCCACTCATCCGCGTCAGCCCCCGCCAGTCGTCAGCAGCAACATCAGTCTGGAGCTACCCGGTGGGTTTGCCACCGGCGATGCCGTGGACAACGATGGCTGGGTCTTCATAGCGCCGCATCACAACACATAGCTTTCGCGTGGACTCTGTGCTGTGGCTGTCCAGCTTAACCAATCGCTGTGTACTTCCAACTGTATTTGTTTTACATTTAAAGCGTACATTTTAAACTGTAGTTGTAACTCGTAACTGTAATTGTAACCGTGCTTAAGTTTAGTCTTGTTTTTCTGTTAGATCTGATCTGTCTATATTTATATGTTTATATATGTTTTATAGACGCCTAAGTGTCTAAGTGTCTTTTAGCCATGTTGCGTGTTTCTAGTAACCTAAGATTTTATTGCTACGCGTATATAATTGTATATAGATATATGTATATGTATTTACTGTGACAGTCAGTGTAGTCTTGTGCATGTATGATGACCATATTTATACAGTAGATTCCGTACCGTTTGTTATACCCGGAAGACGCTATAACCGCATAAGTTTGCGCATATAAGTTTGTCTGGGAACCAGAATTATCGTACGAACGCTATAAACGGAGTCGTTATAACCGGATTCCACTCTATTACTATAAACAAACTATTGCTCACCTCAGCTGTATCCAAGTATTTCATTTAACTTATGTCCATCATCAAGTACATATTCAACTCAAGCTCACAACGAAATTTGTTTTTACTAATTAAGCAATAGTCAAAGTAGCTGCAAATATTCGGCAAATTGTAACGGTTCCTAAGTATCTAATTTATGGAAGTGTCTAAAAAATACATGTCTGTCGCGCTCTTATGAACTAAACCAATTCGATTGTTTTATTGTTAGCAATTATAACTATAATAAATAATAATAATATAATTTGTTTGTCAGACAATCAATCCATTACAGAGAACTTCAGGTTGGCTTTAGTTTCTACACAAAGTGTATTTTATTTTTGTGTGTTTATAAATCGTTTTCTAAATATTTTTCTAATAGTTAAATATTCGAACGTTGACCTGCTATTAACAAATTTTTTAGTGGCCTTTGTTGGCACATTTCATCTCTGTACAGCTCAAAAGCGCAAGTGGCGATTTAAAGGTTTTCTATCTCTTTCGATTTCTATATCTATCTCTCTCTCTCTCTCTCTCTCTCTCTCTCGTTTTATATATACATATATATGTTTAGATATATATGTATATGCAAATGTTCATAGATATACGTTATATGTATATATCACTAATAATATATATATATATATATATATATATATATATATATATATATATATATATATATATATGTATATGTATATGTATGTGTATGTGTGTGTGTGTGTGTGTGCGTGGATATGCACTGGCATATTATGCTATGAATTGTCGCGTAAATTCGTCAAGGGAGGCGCGCTGTGGGATGCGTCGCTAGGAGACACAGCTGGGCACGTACATGGTCACGCATGTGGATTCCCAGACATCGTTTGGCGTATCCCACGAGTCCTTGTGATGCCACCATTTGCCAGTGTCCACATCGTAGGCCATTGTCTCCGAACTGGCACGGTCTATGGACTCGGTCGAGTCCAGGCCACCCACAAAGATGATGGTGCGACGCATTGTGGTGACGCCCGAGTAGAATTTGGGTGCGGGTATTTTGGTCTCCACACTCCATGAATTGGTTGGGATGTCGTATGCGTAGATGTGCTCCACCAGCACTCGGGACTCGCGCATGGTCTCGTGCCAGCCGCCGCACGCATAGATGCGATTGTCGATGGCCACCAGGACGTGGTCGCAGCAGGGCGTGGGCATGGGGGCCAGTTCCTGCCAGCACTCGGTCTTCGTATCGAAGCACCAGGTGCTGGCCAGTATGGTGGCCAGGTGTATGCCGCCTGTGAGCAGAGAGAAGGCAGTTAGCATGCTGAGGGATTCGCCACAGCTTGACTCTTACCAGATATGTAGAGCTTGTCGCCCACCACGACGCCGGCATGCTGGCTGCGATTCTCCTGGAGGCTGGGCATATAGGTCCATGTGTTAGTGACGATGTCGTAGCGCTCCACATTGGACATGCGACGCAGTGCGTCCTCCGAGCTGTCCTCGTACTCCACGCTGCCGCCGACTGCATACAGATACTGCTTGCCCACAGCGTTGAGCGAGAAACGGCAGCGATCCAGCTGGATGGGAGCTATGGTCACCCAGGAGTCGCGCAGCGGACAGTAGCGGAAGCCAAACGGATGGATGTACTCCTTCAGGCAGACGTCATAGGCGCCGCCCACTATGAAGAGCTCGTTGTTGAGCACGGCTGTGCCGAAATTACCTGTTGGGTGATGGATAATGAGAGACAATCGAAACAGACGAAGCTGATCCCGATGGGGATGACTTGATTGCTGCTCACATTGATCAATGTGCGGTATGGCGGTCAACTCGTACCACTTCATTTTGCTTGTGGAGAAGCACATAATCTCATTGGTGAGGCCCTTCCACTCGAAGCCGCCGATTTTGAGCAGACTCAGCTCCATGCCGCGCATATTTGTCGGCCCCTGGCCTAGTCTCAGGCAGAGATCAAGCGAGGCGTTGATGGTCTCCTGGCTGATGCTGGTCTCCTGCACCTTGGCCAGATACTCCTCGACCAGCGAGTGGTTCTGATAGCGCAGCGTCTTCATTTCCTCAGTGCTGATGAACTCCCATTTGATGAGGCGCAACAGTTCGACCAGTGCCTCCTCCTTCAGCTGCAGCTCGAAGCCGTAGCTGCACAGCAGACGCACCAGCTCCAGTTCGGGTATATCGATCGGATAGTTGCAGGAGAGTATATAGTGGAGCTGCTCCAGTTTCATTTCCTTGAAATCGCTGGTGGTCGCAAACTCCTTCAAGTGGGCGCAGATGTAGCGATAGGCGCGCTCGGCCAGCGCAAATTGGCCATAGATCTCAGCCATGCTGGCGATGGCCAGACAATTGTCCATGCTAATCTTTTGCTCCATGAAGACGGTGCAGCGATCGATGACCTCCTTCACCTGGACATGGGTGGCCGCGGCGAGCGTCTCCTCCACATTGTCCACGTTCAGCTCCAGCAGTGATGTGTATATATAAACTATGATGCGGCTCATTGCCCGAGCCGAGACGCCATACAGTGTGACCTCCTCCTTGCGCGACTCAATCATGGCACAGTCCGCGAACATGGCGCAGAAGTAATCGCTGCTGGCCGCCAGCACGACCCGATGAGCCTGCACAGACATAGAGAGATCAATGTATATCTAAGCTAATATGATTTGTGGCACGCACCTTGAAGCGATGCCCCTCGACGATGAGCGTGACATCTGTGAGCTTGCCCTGGGAGCGCAGCCGGTTCAGGCCGCGCAACAGGCTCTTCTCGGCCTGCGAAACGGATGTGGACATCGTGAGCCTCGCTTATCAGCAGCAACGGGACGAGCGTTCCACTGGTTCCCCCGGACCTGGGCCCAAGCTCAATGTGATGACGAAGATGATGATGATGATGGTAGTGATGACAGTGATGGCGCCTCAATGCAACAGCATGCTCCAGTGCGAAGTGGGCAGCGACTCTCGATTGGGTTAGGGCGCACCAGTGCACACACACACATATATGGGAGTCAAGGTACGTCGAAGAGAGGAGAAACCAAAAGTAATCCAAAAAAAAAAAAAAGACTAAACTAAACTAATGGAATCTCTTGCTGCTGGGGGCGAGGGCGAGGGCGAGGGCGACGGCGACGGCAAGCGGATTTCGATTCGCGGTTGAACTTTATGTTTACAGTAAATATCTCGACCAGCTGTTGCCTTATGTGCATGCGCAACATACACGCATATATATGTATGTATGTATGTATGTATGTATGTATATACTCCACTTGGTAAAATAATGAAGATTATTTTCCGTGGAATTTCGATCTTGCGCCCCTCACAGTCCACTGGGCCTTTTACTGTTATTATTGTTGAATGTGAATATGAATTTCTAAAAGTAAATATTTAATATTGAGTGCTTGCTTTTGTATTTGTAGTTTGAGAACTGTTGCAACTGTCGTTTACATCAAATATTTCCTCGAGTCTCTTTTTCGTTTTGTATAGAAAGTGTGCGCTTGTTTATAGGTCTGACAGTGTGCGTTTGTTTCTGCATGTGTGTGTGTGTGTGTGTGTCAGTGTCAGTTTGCGTATATCGTTGTATATCAATAGTTTTCAGGTGTTGGATAACGCTCCGCCGCTGCGGCGAATCGTAAACAGCTGAACAGCGCTGCATTGCGGCATTTACCAACACACACCTCTTGATTGCCACACTTGATATCTGCTCTGCTCTGATTTGTCTGTTGAGTAGGCGCTGATAGGTGGGCTTATCTTTATGAACAGCAATTCAATTTATTACTATCAGCAGCATTTGATTTTGGCTTTGATTTGTGTGCGTCCGCACTTAATCAGTAATATATATACTCACATATATTTATATATATTTATATTTTTTTATATATATATTTATAATTGCATATAAAATGCACCATTAATTATTATTAGTTTCTTATGAATTTATACTTTTTTTTTTTTTTTTTTTTTTTTGCGATATTGCGCTATATCTTAAATTTATATAGCAAAAGCCGGTGACGTAATATTGAAATTATAATTTGAACTCTATTCTAAATAAATCTACATTTATTTCATTCCATAGTACAGTGTAAGATCCTTATGATAATTATTTGCATTATCTGTTTATTATATTATTATTAATTATTATTATTATTAATAATATTATTAATATTATTATTTTTGTTCTTATTATTATTTGTAATTATTATTATTATTATTATTATTATTATTATTATTATTATTATTATTATTATTATTATTATTATTATTATTATTATTATTATTATTATTATTATTATTATTATTATTATTATTATTATTATAATTATTATCATTATTATAACAAATAAAATAAATTTTAAAAAAGTATTTTTATTAGTATTTGAAAAACTGCAAGATCTACAATTATTAACAATATGCCAATGAAATGCCATCCACATTTGTTCACCAGATGGCGCATTAGCTTACACCACCACCACTTATACCATAGTGCTTAGACGAAGTAAGCTTAGTGAAAAGCTCCATTTATTTATAAGCTTCCATCCATGGCGAAGTCGTCTTCGCTGTCTTCGCAGCTTTTTCTTGCTTTGAACGTTCACACAGCTCTCTTTGCGAAACTTACGCCAGGTGGCGTTTGGTCGTGTTACATACAGCATGCATTGCTTTTAAGCTCACTCAGTTTTTGTATATTCGTAGCGAACAACTTTTCAAAGTAAATATTTAATTCTTCAAATCTTTTGCGCGTAGCGAAATAAAAGGAAAGAAAACAGATATTTAAGTAGAGTAAGAAGATTTTAATAGTTTATACACATATATACATTTTTTGGTTCTTGTTTTTGGTCATTTTTGGTTTCAACACGTTAAAAATTCTATAAAGTTAAAATTCAACTAAAATTCGTTAAAAACATAAGAAAAATACAGATCTTGTGATTTGGCTACTTTTAGCTGATATTAGAATATGTTAAATATTAACGGGTAGATTCGATTTTCGATTGATTAGGTCTTTCTGTTATTGGTTTTCATGTTGTACACGACATATCGATTTCTGTATCAGATAGTTCAAATTAAGCTGTGAGCAAAGTAGGCTACGTATTTTTTGCTTTAATGTATATCTCTGATTGGCTTGAAAGTACACGTCAATTGTCTCAAAATTCCTATATATTACATTTCGAACAAAGTTTATCGCAATTTCGTGCTATTCAATTGACCCGAAACACAGCGCAGGGTCACAGCACTTGACAAAGACTCGTGGTAAGGACTCGAGGAGCCGTCGGAGGGTGACATCGCCGCTCTTATCGAGGGGGAGCTGAATGCTTGTGGACACAGCAGCAGTTACACTCTACTTATTGAAAAGGTAACCAACCGTAAGTACGATGACAGCAAGATGCGCTACAACATGGGCATCAGTGGTGGCCACTGGCATTATCAATGAGCCACTGCGTTTGCCGTGCGCCATACGCCCACCGGGACCGCCTCCAAAGATGCTGATGCGACAGCCGAACTCAAAGGGCAAGGGCAGGGCAATGGCATTGGGCAAATCAGCCATGGCGCCTACACTAGCATCCATTGCTGCAAGATCATCAAGACCCGCAACAAAACCTTCAGCTGCACCCTTTTCAGCATCATCCGTACGCTCAGCTGCAACCGCACCTGCGGGTGCACGCTTCAACAGACGTCCAACCGCCGCGGCACCAAATCCCAGAATGACGGCTCCAAAAATGTCGCAAAAGGCCGCATCAGCAGCCATGTCAGCAGGAAAAGCTATGCCCAATTCGAAACAGGCAATGGGCAGCAGCTCAGCACAACAATTCCGGTCAGCCGGACCAGGAGGATCAGGAGGACCAGGAGGACCTAGAGGACCAAGAGGATCAAGAGGACATGGAGGATCAGGAGGACCAAAAGGACTAGCAGGTTCAAACGGGCCACTCAGATCAGTCGCACCAGCCAGAGCAGCCGGAGCGGCAGGACCGGCAAGATCATCAGGACCGGCAAGATCAGCAGGACCGGCAAGATCATCAGGACCGGCAAGATCATCAGGACCGTCAAGACAGTTTGGACGGTCTGGACCGTCAGGATCGGCAAGACCTTCAGGATCTTCAGGACCTTCAGGATCGGCAAGGCCGGCAGGACTAGCAGTACCGGCAGTACCGGCAGGACCGTCAGGACTGGCAAAACCATCAGGACCGGCGGTACCGTCAGGAACCGCAAGACCATCAGGACCGGCAACACCGCCAGAACCGGTAGCACCGTCAGGACTGGCAGGATCGACAGGATCGCCAGCAGCGCCAGGACTGGCAAGACCAGCAGGACCGTCAGGACCGTCAGGACCGGTAGCACCGGTAGCACCGGTAGCACCGGTAGCACCGGTAGCACCGGTAGCACCGTCAGGACCGGCAGTACCGGCAGGATCGGCAGGACCAACAGGTCAAATAGGGCCAGTCGAGCCAGCCAGATCAGAAGAATCTACAGAGCCCGTCGGGTCAGAAGGACCAACAGGGCCAGTCGAGCCAGCCGCACCAGCCGGACCAGCAGGTGCAACAGAACCAGCAGAACCAACATTAAGAACTGCCTATTGCCAGCCGAATTGCGTGGCAGGTGCGGATACGAACGCGGACACGAACACGGACACGGACACGAACACGGGCACGTGCACGGCCACTCAAGAGTTTCGACGTGCCTTTCGCAATATATGGCCGCGTCTGCCGGCACCGAATTCCGACCATCGCCATCACAGCCGCTCGTCGAGCCAGAGCGGAAGCTTTCGGCGACGTCATCATCACGAACTTCGCGCGCGTGCGAGCTGTCCGTATGGCCAGGGGCCGGTGCATCTACACGGCAGCAGGCCCATGATGAAGCCCATGATCAATCTGGGTCAGCACGAGAAGCACTTGATATCCAACTACTATACACCCATGCACTTTGAGCAGCAAATGGCTCAGCAATCGCAAGGACACGGCCACTGGGAGCACCATCAGTACCACTATAGGCCCTCAATGCCGGACATACCCGAGGAGCCGCTCCCAATGCCGTCTCATGCCTATGAATTTCCCGATCCATTGTTTGATGATGAGGCACTCCGTGCTTGTGTCTCACCACGATCTCGCGTCCGTTGTCAGGTGATATACTCCAATTCTCTCTACGAGCTGGCTCAATGGCAGCCTGTGTGCGAATCACGTCAGGTGTGGGAGCCGCTGGATCTCAATCATCGCTATCTATCCGATCCGAGTAATCCCTTACGTAAGTATCAGAGTAGCTGAGAAATCTCCACTCGGACTCAACTGTTTATCGTTCACTTGCAGCGCCAGCTCCACCTGGCTTCGAGCACATCGCCACAGGTAAACGCGCGTTGTCCAGCCGCTCGCGCCATCTGCTGGGCGAGGAGATAACATATGAGTTAGATACTGGCTATGAGACGCCAGTACCCATGGAGATGCCAGAGCGCGAGCTGCGCGAGCAACAGCATTTCATAGGTATGTTCGGGAACAGAATTCATTCTTATATCAATCTCTCTCACTATATATAAATATATATATTTTTATAGCTAATCATGATACCCATTTGACAAGTTGTCTGGCCCAGCTGCGTGTGACCAATGGTGCAACCGGTGACGGTTACTATGTGCGCCCGGTGCTTAAGCTGGTTCCCAAGGCAGTCAAGGTGGTGGAGCCACCCAAATACCAGCCCGTATTTCAACCCAATGTCTCATATTGGGATCTATTGGGCCGCAATCAAGATAAAGCAAAGAATGAACTAATAATTAACAATGAGCCGATACAAGGCGACCAACCACACAACTACAATAAGATGCCACCAATGAGCAACGATCAGGACGTCTATGCGGACCAACTGCTCTACAAGGCTGATTCATCACCCTATGACAATGTCGGCCAAATGGTCAATCCGGAACGCATACAGTTTGGCACCGTCACAGCTGAAATGTCCGGCTCGATGGACGACTACACATTGATTAATCAGATCTAAGATTTTCTTGTTCGGGGTAACTCTCCATAAGTATGCTCGATTCTAGTTCGGTGGTCTCGCGTACACTTTGCGGGGTGTACGCGAGACTTTCAATCAACTAAATTCTTTAGAAAGGGACAATTTCGAGCCTTTTCTTTTTTTTTTCTGTTATTTTTGCCTTTTGCAGAACGATTCTTAATAATCGGCAGGAGCTGCGGAAGAATTGAAATTAATCTTAGTTTACCAAAATGTTACTGATGTTTGAATGAATAATGAATAAATCCCTGTTAATTTTTTTGGTAAATGCTAACTTAATTTTTTTTTTTTTTTGATTTTATTGATGCCTGATTGGTGTTCCTATTGCCGTTTGTTTTCGTGCTATTGCTTTGTGATGGTCTACTGAAATATTGAACAGTTGCACAACCGTTAGCAATTCGATGTGGTGAAAGATGTAAAATATAACAGATTTTCGATAGAACAATTATAGCAGAAATGATGCTGGTCAATCAACTTGCGCCAGTAGATACAGAATTTCAGGCGAAAAGACGAATCTGTGGGCCCAAGTATCTGCGACTGCCGACCATGACCTCTTAATGCCAAA